CACTTCACCTGACTTATGTGAGCCCTGCAGGACAGGACACAAAGTACATCCCCGCTCCATCCAGACAGCTTTGGTGACTTATTCACAGTTACACAGCCACAGAGCTGAGAACTACAATGCATCAACTCAGGTGTTCCAACTCCAAACCTGAAGGTTCCGGTGATAAACAATGGCCCTCTGTGAAGCTCTGTCAGCAAACAAGCAGCAGTCACCCCTGGCTCCCGAGAGGGTCAGTTCATCAATGAGGAAGAACTCAACAGCAGCAACTGCAGCCATTCAGAACCAGATGATGGGCTTGGCCTACTGCGACAACCTTGGAGGTGGGCAAAGTGTCCTATCTGACATGGAAAACATGATGGTTTCCCTCCCCTAGAGGGGCAGCACTCCTGCAGTCAGTTCACCCTTGTTACCCCAGATTCCAGCTACAGTTTTCTCTTGCCAGCTAGGTTCTCTTCACCCTTGGCTGTTCTTCCCTGACCATTCTAGTTAGCTCTAAGCTTCTGGTACACCTCCCTTGGAACCACACATTGAGTCTTTGCTGCAACAAACTCAACCACACCATAAGCTTGAAGACTGAATCCTCTACCTTCCCCCATCCCGCATTTGTGATAAAACACTGACCAGAGCTTGCACTCTTAGCATCACTCAGAACCACTCGAAACTTTCTTGATTTCTGAGTTTGTCTGTTTATTAAAAAGCAAGAATTTCCAAAGGAAATGGGGCTTCAGGTCAAATCCCAAGGTTGGACCCATGGAAAACTGGAGATTTAGAATCTATGAGGATTTAGGTGTGTTACTCAATAGCAACTGCTATCATCTTGGAGCTGGATGAGATACAGATAACCATCCAGCCAGTCCTGGGGCGGACAGATAAGGAAAAAAGCAAGATCCAGAGGGTTATATGACTTGTTCAGGCCCCTGCAAATGTACTGTTTCCCAGAACCACTGGCAACATGGCTGCTGCCCTGAGAGGCTATCAGGGCCATTCCTGAGTAAAGGGAAGATGAGCCAGGCTAGGTACTTTAGTTGGCATGTGAAGCCACACTTCACACAGGAGCTCAGTGACATGCCTCCTCTAGCACACCACTGCTTTTCTCTGGCCACAGTCTGTCAAAAGGACTGCATAAAAAACACTCCACTGGCTAGGTGAAGTGAGTCTCAGAAAGTACTTTTATCTTTTTAAAAATATCTTTGATACTGCCTTTTTTTTTGGTGGTACTGAGGTTTGAACTCAAGACTTTGGCTATTTTAAAGATGGGTCTGAATTTTTACTCAGGCTGGCCTGGACTGTGATCTTCCTATCTTCCTGACATCACTGGGATGATAGGTGTGAACCACCATGCCCAGCTTTTTTCCCATTAAGATGGGGGGGTCTCAAAAACATTTTTGCCTAGGCTGGTCTTGAACTGCAACCCGCCTGATCTCAGCCTCCCAAATAGCTAGGATTATAGGCATGAGCTACCAGCACTCAGCTTGATTATGCTTTTCTTAATTCCTTGAAGTCAAAAACTTTAACTGGAAATGATTTACAAATAAAATCCCTACAGATAGAGTAAGTTATTTAATATTTATCAAAGAATCCATTTTCCCCAAATAAGCCAAACAACTTGAAACTGGATTCTGATGTTGAAGACACAAACATCTATGGTGTGCAGTTAGAAATGTTTGGTGACAGTAGTGCCAGGAAGTGATGCTACCATTTTCCTCTTTTATTATTTATTTTTAAGAGACAGGGTCTTCAAATGATCCTCCTGCTTCACAAGTAGCTGGGACTAGAGGCAGGCACCATCACACTTCTTTCAGTAGGAAAATGTCACTGAATATTCACTAATGTGGCAATCTTCAGAAAAACTAAGTTTAATGATCAAAAAGTCTGCTATGAAGCATCTTCAAGAAATAGTTAGAGCTGGTGTGGTGGTACATGGCTGTAATCCCAGCACCTGGGGGTTGAGGTAAGATGGTCAAATGTTCAAGGCCAGCCTGGGCTACATAGCAAAAGCTCTCTCTCTCTCTCTCTCTCTCTCTCTCTCTTTCTCTCTCTCTCTCACACACACACACAGCCTGCCCAAACAGCAAATATCCTCATCTTCACACCTCGACTTTCACAACAGCCTTGCTTGTGCAGGGTCACATAATAAAGGTGACGGACACTGAATGGCAGCAGACCTGGAGAGCAGCAGATTGCTAGCCTGAGATCCAGGCTGAGATCTGGGTTTTGTCTCAGGATTCATACCTCATACTGCCCCAGAATCTTCTCAGAATTTCAATTCTACTAAACTCTTTCTCTTCTTAATGATCAGAGAGACTCTCTATCAGCTTCAATAAACAGGCTACACATGGCAAAAGGAGAAGAGTTCAAATGGATGGAGTTATCTTAAAAAATCAAAAAATGGGCTCAAGGTTTTACAAATGAAGCCCCAGCCCGTCAAGGTGTTTGCTAAATGCTAAAGCCACTACAAACCACAGAACGTCACTAACATTATGGGCACTAACATTCAACGGCATCATTTATCTATTAAAAAGACAAAAGGGGATTTAGGTAATAAAAGAGATTTAGTTACTTAAATAGTGACTATGAAAAGATTATGTCTAACCTGACAAAACCAACTTTTAAAATAAAAGCTCTAAATCTTGCATCGGTCACCCTTACTGCAACATGTCTATGTCAGCTCAGGACAATGGCTCTGATGCAGATTCAGTGCCTGCCTCGGACAGTTTCACAGTTCCTTTAGAAGAATAGGAGGAAGCTAACCTCGCTTACAGGAGGAGCAGGCAAGCCACCTTGATGAGGCCACCGTATCCATCTTGTCTCAGCTTGCATGACATGTTTGAGTTTCTACAAATCGCAGTTCTAGAAGCTGTCCTGCACTGCTGCAGTTTTACAGCCAGAGCCACAGTGTGTGTGGTATGGAGACCAGTACATGTAGCAGGGGGAGGGTGGCTGGCGCCACAGTCTCACAGTCTCTCACAACAGTCCTTGTGAGCCTGCCAGGTCTCATGCTCTTCATATCCTGCTGAGGCTCGGCTTTTGCTGGGGAATGTAAAAACCAAGTAGCTTCTTTTGAGAAGGAAACTCCTAGACAGACCAGCTTGGGACAAGCAAACTTTGGAAGCACTGGTCAGACAGGAAAACAGACTATGCCTTTCCATGACTGATAAAGGAACTGGCCCCTGAACACTGTGGAAGCTATCCGGTGTATGTTTGGAAATTAATGGTGTGTACTATTCGTATGGCAGCAAGAGGGCCACCACACAAACTATACATGAACCTAACTATTCTGCCCTAAGGACCAGAGATGGGAAATAGAAACAGACTGGATAAAGTAAGGGAAAGACTCGAAGAATTTTAAAGAAAAAGGAAAAGAAAAACCCAACCTAAAACCTAACTGTCCAGGTTCTCAAACAGCTTCTGGCAGCACAACAGCCTCCAGTTTCATGAGGAAGTGGCAAGGGCAGGAGTCAAGGTGAGCAGCAAGCATGCCAAGCAGGAAGGCCTGCCAACAGGGTGCCTCCCAGAACATAACATGCTCTCCCCGCTGTGCCAGCTCATGGGACAGCAGTGCAGGGATCCTTTGGCTATAGGAATTTTAAGTTAACAGTGCTGCTAAGTTACTTGAGCCAGGAGATTTTCTGCTCTTTTCCCTTGGGGAATTTAAGGGAATCTCATACCGAGGGACTTCCTCTCCTAAATTTCCCATTTTGCAAAGAAAAACATAAAACACTCCAAGAACGTAGAAAATGTCAAATAGATGATTTAACTCTGTTAACTGTCAAAGTTTTCGAGATTGGGGTACCCAATTTAAAGACAGACATCTTCCAGCTGGATGGACACTAAGTGCCAAACACCATTGCTGGCTTAGTGTCATTTTAGTCTCCCAATCTAAATGTATCCTTTGTCACAAAACAACCATTACCATCTAGAAATAAAAGAACATCAATTTCACTTCAATTTCGATCATGTATTCTCACTAAGGACAACTATTATGTATTGAGAAAACATAAAGTCAGCACAGGCCAGTACCCCTTACAAGAGACCCAAGACCTGGTTTATACCTTAGTTCTGCCAGCAATTGTGGGGCAGTCTCCTTGGGGACAACCCTCCTTCTTCACCTGGGAACAATTATGTTGGCCATACTAGCCTATCTGGTCCTCACATTTTCAAGTGAGTTACTACAAACGGAAAGTGTTTTGTTTATAAGCATAAGTGACTGTCACCATCATGTGACCAAGCCAGGTTTTAGAAACACAAGTTACTAGTTGGAAAGCCATCCACTACCTATGTGCTGCACGCTGTGCTGGGACCAGCAGGTGGAGACATTCCGAACCAGAGCAGGAGCCCCTCCTTGCTGAGCTACATGCATCATGGGGATCTTAGGTCAGTCATTGTTCAAGCAACCAGACAACTGCCAAGAGAAAAACTACCCCTTAGGGTATCATTCCTTTCTCAGATAAGAACTGCTCTAATCGCCAGCCCTCTAATCCATGAGTGTGCTCACAAAAGGGTCACGCCAGAGCCCAGAGACTAAACTGGGGGATTGGTTATGTCTCACTGGGGTCAAACCCACTGTTTGTCCCCTGCAGTTTTCTAAAATTCTAAATCTGCAGTTCTGTTTCCCACAGTGCCTGTTACTGGAGGGTGTTATTCACTTAGGGAGGACAGCTACCCTGTAGGCCTCTAGTGACTCCAAGGACTAGGGAGCCACAAACAAAGGACAAACAAGTCAACAAGCAACTGACCAGGTTACTGCTGAGGGCCCACCATGGCACTTGTGCAAGTCACAGAGACACATCATACTCCATGACAGGCAGCTGAGGTGTTGGGGCCCAGGAACCACAGGGAAGCTTTGCTGGCATTTAAAAAATGTGCAGCTACTTAGCCATGATGACAGCACCAGAATTTCACTCTGCACAACACGGACTGAATTCAAAGGAAGAGGTTCTCTTTTAAAGCTTATATGTATTTCCCAATCCTTCCTCCCCACACCCTGTCTCCTGGCCCACCTGTTCAGAATCCCTGCCGTGGGGCTGGCTCACCTCCTTGTGGGAGTCTTTGTGGGCTTCCAGAGTCTTCATGATCGTCAGCTCAGCATAGTTTTTGAATCTTGCTGGCTGGTTTCTCAGAATTTCCCGTAATACTCTCAATGCCAGTGCTCGAATTGAATGCTGGGGTACAAGAAGAAAGGACGTCTCACCAACAGTACATAGAATGTGGCCACACATACCAGTCAGCAGGTCCACGAGGCCAAGCACCCGATTCCGGGTGCCCTGGCATTTCGCAGACCACTCTACACAGATCACACGGTTTACTTGACATGGGCTCTCTGGACAGTTAGCTCCAAGAGGGCAGGCACTGTGTTGTACAGTGACATTCTCAGGACCCAGCACCTAGGAGGGACCGACAAAGGCTTCTTGAATGAGCCTTACACTTGAGACCAAGTGAGGTTGATATACTTAATTTCATTATTAGTTCCCAAATTTCTAGACTTCCTGAGGATTGAATATAAAAATTATCTTTTTGTTAAATATACAAAGGACAAGTCCAAAGCATCTAAATACTTCATGGACATAGCCTGCAAAGTTGTGGACTCTGAGGACAGCTGGAGACCTGTGGCTATTTCTGACTTCCTGTGTGATGAGATCACTGATGTGAAAGGCCTCAAGTTGTGAAGGCCCGAGTCATGTGTCTGGAGGAAAGCCATCCCAAACAGACTCCTAATCTCAAGAAAATGGACTGAGTTTACACCAAACAGAGCCAAGAAGTACATCCTGATTCTTTGTCACTCATCTGTACAATATGCACACCGATACACAGTTCACCTGCCCTCTGCGTGACATCATTTTATCTCCCGACAGAGCCCAGCCAAACATAACTTCTTCCACAGCTAATACTTTAAGAAAAGTTAAAACGGGTCTTTTTCTACCATCTTTCTACCTTTACTTATCCTTAAACCAAGCCTGTAATCCTAAGCATAAGAAAACAATTCCAGTTACCATGGCATTCACTGCCCCCGATCCCAACATGCCATCAGACAAAGAGGAGAGAACACTGGTCACCACCACCACCATGCACTGTGTCTATCTTCCTGGAGACGCTCCCAGCCCTTCCCCTCCAGTTCTTTACCATGTGAGCTTTTATTATTGTTTCTGCTAGGCCATGCCAAACCAACGGGCAGATGGATTTTCACTTCTAAAGTTTAATTCTGGCAACTCCCAACATTTATTCCTGGCTCTGGATAAGGCACCAGTTCCACAGGCAAGAGAAAGCAGGACTTTGACTGGATCACCCCCCCTTTAAGAGGTATTTACTAAGTGGCAGGTGTAGGTCATAGACCAGGCAGTCACAAATGTGTAGTCTGTCACATTCAAATGTCCCAGCATGAAGAGGGTTTTATTTTAAAATTAATACTACATGAGTCACATTGCTAGAAGCTATCACTCGACTTATTAAGAGAGCTGTTAAAACATGTAGGGGTGAACCAAGGTGGTCTTTCATGGACTTTTGAAAAAGGGTCTTTTAAAAATAAACTTCTCTATTTTTTGATTTCGCATGAAACTCATGAGGAAGGTACATCCTGAAAGGACACAATGTATGCTAATGAAGTTTTAAGCATTCTGTGCTGAATTAACTAGAGATGCAGGAAAGCATTTCCCTTAGCCACTGCAAACCCAGTGACAAGAAGACCTTGCACATAGGCCTGGACACACACGGCCTGTTGCTGATAAAAGCATTACCCAACATGTGCTCAGAGAATATGTGAAAACTGAACAAATACATGTTTGATGTAACTGTGAATGCAATCCACAAAGGAAAGCTGATGCCAACCCCAACAAGAAAGAACCCGCCATGTGCAAAGGGGTCATGCCAGGCCAAGCCCAGTGCGTACGTCTTTGTCTCCGAGCGTCTCCAGCAGCAGCAACAGGATGGTCTTGAAGTGCTCCTCCCAGACCCCCAGGCTGTCCTCCCGGGTGATCTTGAGCAGCTCCAGCAGGGCGCCTTTCCGCTCCTCCACCCGCTCATTGTGGTTGGACAGCTCTTTCAGCAGGTCAGCCACCAGGTCAGAGTGGTCGATGGGCACTGGTGAGACACACACGACAGACTCACCTCATGAGGAAACACTGGCTACATGGCTTCTGCAGTCCTTTGCCTTCCTGGGGCCACAGAACCTTCGGCTTTCCCTCCCACTTCCTCTTGCACAGCCCTAGCAGAGCTTCTCACCAAGTCAGTATGAAAATGGGGCTAGACCAGCTGTCTAGCACTAGTATTCTGTGCCTTTACTCTTCCTCCTCATCCTTTCCCTTCTATTTCAGTCAAAGAGGACAGAACACTGGTGCCCTCTAAAAGCCTTCTTGACCGTCTTTTTCCAAAGTCTCTCCCACTGCCACAGTCCTACCACTGGGATAGTCTCTTTTCAGTATCAGACTCCTCTTCAGTGCTCACAGCCCTTCCTTCATCACCTGTGACGAGTATCATTCCTTCTCAAATGTCCAGAGCTGGGACTCAGAACACCGGTCAAGTACCATTTAAGGTGTGCAGACTGTCTACTCAAAGACTGGAAGACATGCCCAAAATCACCTTGCACAGTTAGTGATAGAGACTTGAGTCGTTTGAAAGGCACAAAGGCACTATCTTTTTCTTTCCAAACTCATTTAAGAGAACTAAACTCTGGATGTTTGATTTTAAATAGAGAGGGTAAAACACAAATGAGAAGAATCATTACAAACTACTTCAACATGTATTTACCTATTTCTTTAGCTTCTGAGATTAGGAAGCAAACACACCAGGAAGTTCAAATATTAAAGAACCTTGCCATTTTCTCCTGCCATCCTACCTTTCTCCTTAAGCCTTTTAGTACACAGTTGGTGAATAAATCATAACTGACACCCTAACCTTTATTCAACCTTGATTAAGATCAGTATCAGGGACTGGCTTAGTTTTCCTCCTGGCCTGGCAATCCATGACCTTCGTGATTACAAAAGGCACTTGAATGAATGTTAATTGTTTAGAGTTTTAATTTAGGTAATTCTTTTTTTTTAAGTTTGAAAAATAAGACAACACGCTTTGAAAAAAAGTTGTTTTACACACACACATACAGTTTTTTAAAAAGTCATTATGCACTTGATATAAAACAAAGCAAGTGAACGTGACAAGTGAGGTAAAAAAAAATTTAAGTTCCAGATAAAAATACCACTGAATGAATTCATTCTTACTAACTGGATACTTAATAATAGATATGGAATTTCTTTTGTTTTGTTCTTTTCTGGGCTTTGCAGTTGCTAAGTACACACTCTACCACTGAGCTACACTCCCCATCCCTGGACACTGATCTTAACAAGGGAGTTAGAAAAAGCTCTGCTACATACTACCTATGTTATATTTTTGATAGTAAGTTAACCTTTCTGAACCTCAGTTTCTTAATTTTTAAAATGGGAACAACCCCCTTTATCTCAATGAGATAATGGATGTATGACTCTAGGCTCAGCACCAAGACGCGTGGTGTTAAGATTCCCTGCCTCCCACTCATGGTACAGAAGTCAGCCTGACAAGAGGGAAGCCATCAGGAATGACCTCATACCACAGCTAAGTGAGATAGGAAAGTGCACACCAAAGCCTTCAAGACACCAAGCACTGGACTAGGATGCCCCTCCCATCAACTACTCCAGTCAGGCAGGTACAGGGAAGTCTCCCTGATGGCAGAACTGGCCTGCCTTCATCACACAGCTGTCCCAGCTGCAACCTGACACCAGCTGTGTGACTGTGTATTTCCTGATGCTGCCACAGCCAGACTAGAGGCCTATGAGGAGGGGCACTCCCTAGGTCTTTGCTCACTGTGGCCTTCCTCTGCTGAAGTATGCAGCAGGGAGTCAGTAAGTAGTGATGAATGAACACCTAACCAGAAAGACCCAGCATTTCTATTTGGGTTTGACCAGTGCACTCGGACCTGGTCTGACGGGAAGGGAAGCTCACAGATGGCACTTCTGGGGGTAGGGGAGCAATTAAGCAGAGAGACAAACCATCTCGAAGCTGCTCCATGTCATCATCAAACACGGCCTCCTTCAGGGCTGTCTTGTCGTAGGTGTTGATGGTGTCCGAGTAGGGATACGGGTTGTAGTCTCGTGTGCGTGGCCCTGGGAAGGCTCGAGGAGGCTGGGTGTTGAGGAGAGAGGTCTTGTTGTCCAGAGCCGTCCGGCCTCCTTCCACTTCACTGCTTCCCCGGCCCTCGGTGGAGGGGGAGGCTGCTCCCCCATCTCGAGACACCTGGAACACAGCACATCATCAATTCCTTTTTGGGACTTTCAACTTATTTTAATTCTCAGAAATATTAGGAGGGTCAGAGTTTTTCATTTGGAACCTAATCACTAGCAAAAGGCTATCGGTATTTCAATTTGTAATTATCAAATTCACGCACTACCAAAGAGGGAAGAGACTATGCCTACGTTTTTATCTATCCGTCCATCCATTTATAGACTAAATCTGCTTCTGTCATTTGGTGATTCATTTTACTCAAGTGTTTTCTAAAGGGCTAATCCCATGACATCCTGAAGAGTTCCTTGGAAAGGGAGGGCTGTGCATCTACCACTTATTCTTGAGGACCCTAGCTGTGGCCCACTGCACTTACCTATGGTAGCAGGCCAACAGGCCTCATCTACAGTGATCTTTACAGTGAGAACCCCACTGCACAGACCAGTTTATATGTTGCTTTCCTCACAGCAGAAACAATCCATGCGCAAGGACAGCTTTTGTAGCTCTCATGCTTAATCACGTCACTGCTTTTACTCATGCTTTAGTAAGATCTGATTTACTCAACTATTCCTCTGCTACTGTTTTTTTTAAACTTTTTTTTTGTTATTGTAGATAATGCTGAAAAATATACTATGTTGTGGAAATAATATTGTTCCTTCTTTTTGCTAAGTTCTTTATTTAACATAGATTATTGTGTAAAGGATATGAAAACTACTTTTTTGCTTAATAAAATCTTACTGAATTCTAAACAACTGTATTAATTTCTCATGCCTCCAACATCATACTAGTTTCCTATAAGCTTTTCAACATTAAATGCTATGTCAACCTAAAGCAGAATACAATCTTGATATCTACTCTATTTCTATTATTACTCAGAGAAAGGACTTTTCCCCATGTGTAAGGTTTTAATTTCTGGTCACGTGAACATTGCCCTAGATCTGATGCTCATCCTTTGGCCTTCTGTCTCACCAGGCTGGGTCCCACATGTCAAGCTTAAGAAGAATACACTGGCCTGATTTTCACATTTAATACAGTTTTCTATCTTTCTCAACTAAAAAGTTAGTAGCTGGTAGTTAAAATGTTGGACTTTGAACCTTTTCCACTCTTTATTCACTCTGTGTGTGTGTGTGGGTGTGTAGGGGCGCTGGAGATGGAACCCAGGGCTTCATGTAGGATAAACAAGTGTTCTACCATTGACATACACACCCCAGCCCTAACTCTACCTCTCTAGCCAGAGTGTCTATCAGGAACAGCCTCATCTCTGAAACAGAGTCAGCCCTTCGTGTCTACAGATTCCACATCAGTGGATTAAACCAACTATAGAAAAAAATATTCAGAGAAACTCCTGTGCTTGTACTAAACATTACAGACTAGATTCTTGTCACTATTTCTTACCATTAACATTGTATTAGGCACTCTGTAAGTAATCTAGATAAAATTTAAAGGACATAGCAGGCTATAAACTATATGCAAAATGCCACATCATTTCCCATAAAGACTTGAGCACTGTGCATTTGCGGATAGCAAGGGATGACTGGGCTGTACTTCAGTGTCTCATTCTCTGATTCCCTTTCAACCCTGCAGCCCTGAAATCCCATCCCTTCAACTTCACTTGTCCTTGGTATGTGAGGTTTCTTGGGCTTTGCCCTCTTGCCTTACTTTTTTCCTGTCAAGTTTTATTCCTTTGAACTGTCATCACAGGATTTTGATACTCAGAAAGCATCTAAATGTTTCAAAACAGGACAGTTGGTAAATGTCTACAGTAAATTGGATGATGAATTATTGTGTAGCCATAAAGGCTCATATAGAAGAACACAGAGGGGGAAAGCGCTCATGTTCTGTGCCAAACATGGTGCACAGTATGATGTCACTTATAAAAACCACTCTGCACACTTCCTTAAACGTATAAACATATAAATACACACAAATAAAACAGATACAACCTAAAATATTAATGGTGGCTATCTCTAGAGTGATTTCTTTCCACTTTTTAAGTATCACAAACTGCATTTATAACTGGATAAAATAATTACTTGTGCATCCACCTTCTCCTAGGGTCTCATCTGTTCTTGCCAGGACTTTTGTTGTCCTTGTCCAGGGGCTTTGGAACCCTCTCTCTTTCCTTGCTATATTTGTGCCTCAGGCTTCAGAGTAGGCCTCCTTCCACTACCCAGACAGCAGGAGCCACAGTGGAAATGCTGCGCTCCCGTTCCTGCCCCTAACCCACTGCCCTTTCCCTTACCCTCCTGCCTGGGCCACATCTCCTGTCTCCACATCCTTAAGGGTCTGTATCCATCAGGCACCTGCTCCCCTCCACTGCATGACACCAGTCAGGTCTCTCCCATGTTTACTGAAGTCCTCCTCAACTCAGAGTAATCTGCTTTTCATCCTCATCTCCATACTCAACTATGCTCCAAAGCCAATGAACTCCAGGAAGAGTTAAATTTGGAAACTACAGTCAATGTATGTAAAGTTATCTAAGACAAACTTAGAAGTTCAAACAGCAGGCTCATTTTCAAAGGAAAGGTCTTGATTCTACAACAAAACACTTCCAAATAAATGTAAATTTTGTCTAATTTTGGTTAAAATGGAATGTTTAATGCAGATAGTTAAAAAAAGACAAAACAAAACCAACCAACCAACAACAAAAAACAATGGAGCCACTTCATTCCACATCTAGCCTGGAATGTCCTTCCTGAAGCAGTTTCTCTTACCTTCCATGATACTAACTTTCCTGATGCCCCTCCCCTCACCCCTAACTGTCTTTTCCTTGGTGATATGCACTTCAGGGCTCTGTCCTTACCCTGTATCTGGGGATTTCACTCACTTACCCTTCTTTTGTTACCAGTGAGCCTCTTCTCAATGCCTCTCTTGTCTCTACCTTTGGCCTTGGTTACTGGCTTCAACTCTGGCCTAGCATCTCCAAAGGTCTAATGGCTATGCCTGCATGGTCACTCCCCAGGTCCTGTAATTTGCACATATTCTGGTGCATCATGTTCCAAAGAGATAACTGCACTTTCTCCTTCCAAGGTACCATCTCACTGAACTGCACCAGTATAGGCTCCACAGCCCAAAAGGCTTCTGATTCTTCTGTTTATGCTGTGTTAATCCCTAGTTCCTCCAGAATTATCCTCCATCCCATATTGAAGCAATCTTTCTGAAATATGGGGATGAACATGCTACTTACCTGCTTAAACATCCTTCAAAGATTCCTCTGTCCCAAGATAAAGTCAAGGCCTAGGCTGAGTGCCTCTCCTCAGCTGTTATCTGATGCTTGCCCCTGACCCTCGACTCTCCTCATTTCAGTCATGAAGAACAGGAGTGTGTGCCAGTCCTCTCTCATGTCTTGGCCTTCCCCTCTGATTACAACTTTCCTACTGAGACTCTTGACCTTCAGGATCCAACTAGAAGGTGACATCATTGCTGAGCACCCCAAATGGCTGGCAGGGCCCGAGTATAAACTCCAGCTCACCTATTGTACCATCCTACGCATTTATTTGCCTCTCCCATGACACTGGCACTTCCAGGGAGCCAACCTGGCTCAGAATCACCATTTTTATGATGTCACAGGAGCAAAAATATATCTGGATAAATGAAAGCAAGATGAGGGATATTCTTTCAAAATTCTGTAAAATTGCCTTGAGCCTCTAAAACTACTACTTTTGTAACTACAGGATAAAAACCACCACCATCACCAAAGCAGTCAGTTCAGAAACTACCACTTAATTGACAGTCATCTCTTTATTAGCTTGGGGATACTTACAATATCACAGTCCTTTTTGCCATCTCGCTTAATTGGTTCATTCAGATCCTCTTGGCTTCGGAAACTAAACTTTTCAATGGCTTCTGTAACTCCACGCAGAGAACTATAGATTTCTTCAGAGTTCAGGTTCTCTGTATCATAGTCCAGCATGCTAAAGACCAAAAATATTTTATTTCTTAAGTTGAAGTATGTGCATAAAATTGAGACATGGATATAAACTACAGAGTAAATTATAAATTATACTTTTGTTTCTTTAGGTGATTTGGAATGAAAAGCAGACACCTTTTATAAGAGTACCACTATTGGATAATTATACATCCTCCTTGTCAAATCTGGCCCCAAACACATTACATCAGCACTCAAGAACTAGTGGGAACAACAATAACCACAAGAATGTGAGAACTCAAAGAGTGACATTGGTGACTGAAGGCACGAAGTAATGAAAGTGGAAAAATAACTTTCTTATCTTGATGATGGAAAAAAGAAGTTTGGTTGTTACTGGTCTCAAATGTACAAACTTAAGAGGAACAGGCATTTGGAAATCAAGCTAGTATAAAAGACAAATTTCAGAGTAGCCATGCAAACAACTTCACAAGACTGGTTATGCTCAAGAGTGTCCAATCCAGAAAACTAGTAAGACCCTATTTTAAAAAACAAAAACAAAGCAACCCTGTAACTCAAAGTCAGATTCACCCCACTGGACTCCTAGGAGTCTAACTCTCCTGTTCTCTAAAATAGACTCTTCTAGATGTTTCCATATACAGTTTTATGATGAAAGCAGATTTTATGAAGATGAGCCACATTCCTGGACGGACACTTAAAAATATTTCAAAAGGCAAGAAATATCTGTCCCTCATGAATCATGATGTCAATTCTTGTCCTTTGAGACACCGAGCATGGCAAACCATGAAAAGAAGCAAGTATGCTCAAAAACAAAAATCCTTTTGGAATAATGCAGTTTGTTAATGAGTGTCCTTTAGATGTCTAAAAAGTGCACTGAGACAGAGAGGATTCTGGGAAAAAAACCATCACTGTTCTTCACTGAGAATATCAAACAAAAGCACAGGATGGATACAGCTGTATAAAGAAAGCAGAGCATGATACAACAGCCAACAAAGGACAAGTCAAAAAATATAACTTAGTTTTAAGAAAGTAGTCAAGAAAAGATCCTATGTGTTAGTCTAATTTAACTTGCAGTAAGTCCTGAGCTATACTGAGGACTGCTAGGAACACTCAAAGAGCCCTTGGCTGTGCACAGGCAAATGTGCAATATTATTTGGGAAAATCAATCTTTCAGACCATCAAAAGAGTAATAATTGAAGACAGTAGTCAACCACTGGCAGGGACTTTTCCTAATGGCAATTCCGTGCATTGCACAAGAAGTAAGTTTCCTAGAACTTAAAAACAATTAACACTTACTAAGACCCTCCCTTTACCTTAAAAAGAACAACAACAACAAAAAAAACCCAAAAACCAAAAACAAAAACAAGATTTGAGCAGGTGAAGAAAATGGGATTTGGGCAGGTATCACTTGGCGTGATCAGATCTTTGCTGGCTGAAGGATGCAATGATCCGGGTGTCTTCAAAGACTGGCTAGGCTCCATGGGACCACAAGACCTGAATTCACTCTCAGAGATGGAAGCTACTTGCCTAAGACTGCAAAACTGGCCCAGAAAGAATTCTTCTTTTCTGATGAATGGAAAAAAACACATACCCCAATTGTATTGGGAAAGTTCACAAAATAAATGCCAACTCAAAAATACTGGCTCTGGCACCAAACAAACAAAGACATGAACCTTGCACACATCTGCAGCTAAAATCCCATCTTTCCACCAACAGGAGGGGGAATAAAAAACCTGACCATAACTAAAGTCTTCCATCCAAGTTCATAGGTGTCCTTGAGGCAACACCCTGAATATGCAGAAAGCATGATGGGGAGTAGACTTCCTTTCCTGGGAATTCCACAATACCAGCTTACATGCAAAGGCATTTATACATCTGGCCAGTACACTATTTGTATATAGAAAGACTGAGTATTATGACTCAAACAAAAATATATATACAAGATGTAAAAAATGCCTTAAATACTTTAAATCACAATAACCAAAAATAATAGCACAGCCCATGCAAAAGAAAAAACAAAATAAAAACAAAACTGAAAGAATGATGAATAGACAAGAGGCGGTCTGGCAGAACGTTCAGTTTTTTAAGGGATGTCACAATATTATTTTCCACGTGTCGCTTCAGAGAATCTTGGCTTTCAGGTAATTCATGATTCTCAACATGAACTTCCTTAAAATATTTCATTTCAGCTCAATTAGTTTCTCCATCACAATAGCCTCTTTAGAAGATAAGAAAATAAAGGATTGTGGCCAGTTAATGTTCCTCTGTCTCACTTTCAATGAATACACCAATTATGCGTGCCAATTCAGGAGCAGCATGTATATGCAAGACTCCATTTGGATCCCTTGTTTGTGCTTGGAAGTGTCCCCTTGACATGAAGCTGAAGCTGAAGCCGTGAGCTCAGGCAAGAGATGTAACTGCTTTCCACTGAAGGGTACTCATTGTTACTTGTATACTTTGGCTTCATTTCTCTTTTCTCAAGTCATTACTTCTAAGCCCTCACTCCATAGGGAAAAAGACTGTCCTTGGGGACTGGGCCCCACAAGCAACTCCCCATGTTGTGGAGCAGTACCCAGGACCCCAGAGCTGACTGAGATGAGGTGTGGTTAAATACACCTCCATCTACCACCTGCACCACAGTCTGTTCTCATTTCAGCTCCAAGACAATCCCCTGACATAATCCTTTGGGTTAAAGGCCAGGTCCTGATCACCTGTAAACACTGAGATTAGACACCAAAGGACTTCCTTAGGGTTCTTTAGATTAGGAAGAGTTACCCAATCAGTCAACAGTCACTGACCTAAGGTCAGCTCATGTCAGTGAATGCTGTCCTGAAGCAGTACTGCAGAGGACCAGATGGAGGTGGGGAGGAACTTGGGGTCAGGTCTCCAAGAAGAGAGGAAGTCTGCCTTCTGAGGCTTTCCTCTGTCATTTTGCAGGATAAGGACACTGGTGTGGAGCAGAATCATGAAATCAATAGGCTTTCAGCACAGAGCAAAGAGATGGACATTAGACTCTCTGCTGGTTTTTTAAACGTAAAAGTCTCTAGTCAATTCTCTCTCTCCCTCTGATGCTTAAGAGAAGTTGTGAGTATGTATTAAATGTTATCCACTAATGAGTCAGAGTGAAATATGTTACTGTGTGCTATGGGATTCTAGGACTAGGATGTCTTTTGGAAGGCAGTCTGGATAGCTGGCTGGGAAGATTGGCTGGGGGGAGGCTCAGTGTGCATTCAGGACAATATATTGAGAGATAGTCAATAAGCTGACCTACACATGGAGATAAGGCTAAACTTAAAAAAAAAAGTAGTGACACGTGCTTTATTAGCATTAATGATAGCTGCATTCTCCTTATCTTCTGGTCTTAACTTGTGTACCTACAAACATTCACCATAAGGTTCTCTATTTACTTTACAAGTTACTTTCAGAGCTCTAAAAGAAAGATGTTAATGTATTCAGTTGACTTGTTTACTGTGTTCAGTTTTGCTATGCAGAAGATACAAAAGTAGGAATGCAAGTCTGTGCAAAAACTACCTAAGAAACATTTCCAAAGAAACCGAATGTATTCTCTCTTTCTTCCTTCTTCTTCTTTGATGCCCTAACCCTATCACAGAGTTGGGTACAAACTCCTCTTTCAAAGCACAGTGACAGTAGGACTACCCCAGTGAGAGCTGGATTGCTCTATTCATGCAATGATAGGTTTCTAGGGAAGGCATTCTCTTATTTCTGGACCTTTACAAAATGTCCCCAAGAGACCCTAAACAGGTGTCTGGAGTACTAAGTGGCATCTTCTTGGTACCACCTGCCATCTGCCTTAACACCTGAGGGAAGCCCACCTCTTTCTAGACTCAACACCATGTAGCCAGCCAGTGCCCAGCAGCTTCACTCAGCATCCATACCAGGGGTTTGGAAGGGACTGGCCACTCTCCTGTCAGGCATCTTGAGTGAGATGTAACAGTGACGTCACCTCTTGGGACTTTCTGTCTGGACTTGTGTGCTCAGACTATTATCATGTGACACAGTCCATAGCCAGTTCATGTAGTCACCTCAGGGCTAATAGCAACACAAGCAGTTTGGAGACGGGCAGGTCAGTGTGTTCCTTAGAATAAATTCTACACCTGAGAAGCATGCTAAGGAAGCCACTCCCATTATTGTCTGCCCTGATGTCACATTTCCTGAGATCATTCTGGGGGTTGAGAACTGCAGTAGGCCAAAAGACTCGAGTAGATACTCATAGATCTGGTCAGCTGGTGACACAGTCATTGTCCCTGAGAAACGCCAGCAGCTGTGTTCTTGAGATTCAGCAGAGACCCTGCACTGCTCACACTTTCCACCAAGGCTCTACTCCTGCAAGGCTAAGTGGAGGCAGGGACCACAATGGAGGAGGTGAGAGGCTTTCCAGAAGACCTGAGACGACCTTGGAAAAGTAATAATATTGTGACACCTCGGACAAATTTAACAGGTAGCTTTTTACCTGGGCGAGTAAGAGCGCCTGAGAGTCTTGTGGGAGGGAGCGGTGGGAATGGAGTTAGGCTGAGAAAAGGGAGGTGGGTGCTTCGATAGCCCATCGGCACTCCAACCCCACAACCGACTGCAGTGATCAGAAGAGGAAAATCAGAGAGAGAAACACAGAAGCAAAGGGGAAGGGAGGAGGAAGATGCTACATTCTAAGTGACCTAGAGTCTCCTCTTTCCTGACAAAGTTGTATCAAAATTAACACTTCACCATACAGAGAAAAAGAACAAACTTTGTTTAACAGTTTGATCCTCAATAAGATTGTTTCATTCTTTTCTCTTCCAACCATGGGATGAGCTTGCTGTTTAAAAGTCATGAGATTCCAAGTGTGACTATGTGTGAGTTCTTGTGTGTACCTACCTGAGTGTACATGTGTCTGTCTGCCTCAGCTGAGAAGCACATTATAAGGACTTACCAGAAACTATGGATGTTCGTTTTTAGACAACTGTTATTTTAGAAAGAACCCATGAAGGAATATGGGGTCTTAACTCAAATGGGATCACAGGGACTATAGCAGGGAAACTCAGAGACCATGATACTCTAACCAGCGAACTCCAGTGAGGGGCAGTGCTTTTAAAGCTGGGATCCAATCAGACAGGGTCCAGAGACAATCAATTTTCTTCTGAAATAAAGCAGCAACACTAGAGGGTGAGAGCATTAAGTCTCAGCTGGCCAGCTCAGAGGAGAAAAACAAAAAACTGGAAACCTCTGCTCAGACTACCTGATAGGAGAATTAAAATACATCCGGGAATGTAGGTATCTGTCTTCACTTCACAATGTCACTAGCTGACCTGGACTTGCAGTGCCCACAAAGTAAAGTTCTAACCACTGCTGCAATTCAAAAGGATGGAAAAAGAACATGGGGGAGTTCATGGTAGTCCTGTGTGCCATGTTCTAACAGTAGGAGCCCTGGAGTGCTAGTCTCCCCAGCACCGTCACGGCCAATTTTGTAAGGAAAATAAGGTGTGCAGATGAAACGTACAGAGCCATGGAAGGCCTGATGACTTTCTCCAAGTCACATACTGGGTTGGGAGAGGGGGCACAAGAAGGGGATCTGCTGATGGGTGAGGAGCAAGCAATGTATCACTGATGAGTATGGGGCAGGGGCTACCTGCTAACTTCAGCCTTTATTCTATGGATGCTCTTGACCCTCTGATGGGAAGAATGTAAAATCCACCTAAAATTACTTTCCAGTTCTACACGACCCAGAGGTGACCTATGCAGTGCCATTCTGCTCTATGACATGTTTGCTAAGAATGTCTGGCAGGCTGGAGCAAGACCCCCAGACGCTTTGTTTTACTAGGAATGGACTTGAGATGGTTCCTGAAGCCCCTTGCAACTGTAACTCTGCTTTTCACTTATCATAAAAGCATACTGGGTAAAATGGGCTAAAATATACATAATGTGTTTAATAATGAAAACCCGAGTTCATCTCCACTCAAATACCAAGAAGTAATTGTTTATTAGCTGGCTTGTTCTTTGCGTATGTGGCAACAAAGATTTATGGGATGGCATCTCTGACACTACTGGGTTGATAAAAAGAATTTCCTTACTAATGACATTTTAAAAAGCTATCAAGTTAGATTTATTTGCCATTTTGGAACATGCCTGTCATCACCATGATCCAAGTATGGTTTTTGGACTAGAAAGCCCCATTCATTTTGGTTCTCAAAATCTGTTCAGAGACAAACAATTGGTCCTAGCTTTCTGTCTTCAGAATAAAAAACTAACACCATATAGTTAAGAAGATTTAAGATTACTGCTCAGAAAAATAGCTGAAACTGTTCTGTGACCTGTTTTATCTCCTTAGAATGTAGCAGACTAGTCAATTCTCCTACTTAGTGAAAGAAATAATTTCTTTTATCATTTTCCTGTTAGAAAGTACATAGCCTGTTTGAATGCTTTTCCTAGTGACACGATGAGTGAGGCAGTTTTCCCCACTGCTGGATAGTTTTCACTATTGTAAAATCATTTTTCCTATTGAATTCATGTTGGTTCAGGTCATCTGGCTATTTTAAGACATGAAGGTGGGAAACTTTTCTTTTTTTTTAATAAAGAAACTACATTAACTAAATAATTCCCTAAAGAAAGTATTTGTCCATAAGAAAATATGCAGGCCAAATCTGGACGTTTTAATACTGAAAACAAATGTCTTTATTTCTTCTACTGATCTTTAATCCTAAGAGTAAAAAGTTAAGATAAGGCTAATTAAGAAGAAATGGTAACCTGGAAAAATAAAATTTTTATGATTTAAAGATCCATGAATATTAATTTCTAGCAAGTTCTTTGAAAAGATTCTGGTAATGGACCCCACCAATTTTTTACCTAGACTATTAGCACAAAATAATACCTTTTGCTTATTACCTAAAGAATGTGCCACCTTAATACTGCAATAAATAAAGATAAGATGCATGAACTGTGTATTATGGGAGATCATATTTCCCAATTAATGTGGCAAACGCATGCTGTATAGACAAAGTTAGTAATTTATAGACAATACAAGTTATCCATAAAATTTTGCTATCAACTTGGGATCCTAGTCATTTAAAACAAATTATATATTTTAGATACAGATGTTAGCATTAAAATAAAAATTGGGTGACCCTCCCTCCCAGTCATACCTGGGAAAGTGACACATACTTTCATTAGTTTTTTTAATCTCAACTGTCTAAGTATAGTAGCCTGCTAAAATCATGGAAACACAGACCTACTTTAGTAATAACATTATACTTCCTTATATTCATAAAACAGGGAATTAATAAATTTATAAAATAAGGAATACATGAATACATACAAGGCAATACAAACAGCAAGATACCATAAGTAGCTTACAAAATACTTTGCTTCACCAAAAGAAAAACACAAATTTAATATGGTCCAAATATTCACAGTATAACGGGAGAGATGAAGAGAACTCTAGTTGGAAGAAGGAAGCGTGAAACTTCAGATGATTTACAAATCCCCATGTAAAAAGCAAGTATGCTTTAATGTCTTCCCAGTAAAGAGGTAAACCTTTAAAGGGAACCAACACACTTGCAGTAATCCTGAGGACAAAAGACCCCTGGTTCTCCTTGTTAGTGAGCCCAAAGATCTGGCCTTCTTAAGAGAAAAAAGAGAGCATATGTAACCCTTACTGATCTCAAAAAATTCTGACATAAGGGCCAACATTCTAAGTGGGGTCAGGTGACTCCACCTCATGTAATAGAGTCACTAAAGCCACCATGCAGACATCTAATGGCTCTGGCAAATGGACAAATGTTATTTAAAGCCAAAGCACTTTTTCTTTTGGAGCCACTGCCCCAGATTGTGTAAGTACAACAATACATGCTCCCAACAGGAGTCTGAATATGTTGCTCCAACTCCACAATCAAAATCACAGTCCTTTATAGTAGCATCTGCTTCAAACACGGTAGCAACTATGCTTGGAATGGCCACTTGGTTGGAAAACTATGCCAGACTTGGTGAGGACTATTAACTGTTTATTAGATGACTAGTAAATACCTTCAGATTCTCCTATTCGTTGGAGAACAGGAAAACTTCCCCATGGACTCTATGCAACAGTACTAAATGCAACTTTTAGCTTTAAAATCTTTTGTTTTATTTTTTACTTTTGAGACAGGGGCTCACCATATAGCCCAGGCTCACCCGGAACTGCCTATTTCCCAGGTTGGCCTTGAACTTGTAATCCTTCTGCCCCCGCCCACCAAGCACTAGAATTACTGGCATGTACCACCTTGCCAAGAGCTAGACATATCCAGAAGAACTTCCAGATTACACAGCTATATCTAGAACCTTCAGTCCCCTGATTCTCAGTACTCTGTTAGTATTAGGCTTATTCTAAAAACCTAGGACGGTCTGCACAGGCATTGGAGTACTTTGGTTTTTTACTTCTGTGGAAGTGAGCTTACCTTGGAGACAGTCCCCCATGGGAACAGTTGGTGGGTGAGGTCAGGGGGCTGGTCCTACTGCTGGGATGTCGGGAAGGCGTCCGGCCAATTGTATTGCTTGGAGATCCCTAGGGTAAAGGCAGAGTATGCACCATTACCAAAGGGATTTCTACAGAATACAACCTTACTCTTCTCTTGATCTTTTAACCCTCATGTCAACAGGCAGAATCTGCTCACAAAGACTTTTTATATGTCCCACCCTCCCAGAGTCATTAGGCTCATTTAAACCAAACACAGATAACTGTCATGTAGGCATTCCTGGAGCTGAATGACTGGGCTAGAGTGACATACACAATGGAACATGTGCATCTTTACACTGTTAAAAAATAAATGAGTGATTCAGTGATGAGTGAATAATGAGATGAACCAATAGACGTTTAACTGATGGAAAAACCTATCCTAAGGAAAAGGTCATGCAGGAGTACCAGTCACTGATTTAGGGGGCACAGGCTAGAATCAGATAGGGCCCTGCCTGTTACAGATGCTCACATGCTAACAGAGAAAAAGAAAGCTGGCTGTCCTATCAGGGAAATTGACAGGTCATGTAACTGCAAATAGAGCACTCACCACACTGGTGTTACTGGAGTTCTTGAGGTGGTTATGCAGGAGTTTGGTGGCACCATCCTGGAATGTTTTTGGCAAGGCACCAAGTAACATGGTAAATTCAGGAGTATTCAATTCAAACAGAGAGATCAGCACAATCTGTGCTGCCTAGGAAAAGAATGAACAACTCATTTATGTGATGTATAATACTAGCACACCTTGGTCAAAATGGTCATTAAAGTTGTTTCGTATACAGAAAATCTGGAGAAAATAATATCATCAGTCACAAATAATCTGGCTTCACTTGGAAAATAAACCCTGGCTTTGGGTTTCCTCAGGACATGAATAACAAAGTCCTGTAACCTTTTCCATATTGTCTGGCACTAGGAAGGAAGCTGGTAAATAGGTAAATACAACAGTCAAAATGTTTTCAGAAGCTTAAGGCTGCTCCTACTCTAAGAAGTCAGAACTGGATGCGGCTCGCAGTGCACCATGTGACGAAGTAGTTTCTAGACAAGCTGCTGTTGGGCTTCTTTTCCTGAGAGACTTCTCACCTTATTTCTGTTGACCAAGAAATATTATAAAAAGACAAGTTAAAGCCGTCTGAAAAACTTCTACTTTTATGCCTACGAACCCACAAGAGAGGCTTTTGGGAAGTGAACTGGATATTGGGTGGTATAAATTAAAAATTTATTCCTCTGCCTTTTGGAAGCCATCTTATACTTCTTTATTAACTGAGACAAGAGACTGCAGGGCCACTTATAATAATGACAGCAGGCGGAGAAAGCAATTAGCTGAAACAAGAGTAGCCAAGGGAGACAGACTCAGGCTTTCCAGCAAGAAATGTGCTTTCTGTGGCTCTGATTTAGTGGCAGGCAATCTGAGCTTAAAAAACAATGCTCCAGGAATTAATCACAAGGGTCTGGATTTACAAAAGCTAAGCCAAAAGAAAATTTTAATAAATACCAACTGGCATTGCCTATTAATTTCTGAGTCAAAAGAAAGAAAATGACATAAAAAACTTCCTATGAATACAGTAATTTTTCATTTTTACTAAAAGCATAGTCTTTTCAAAGACTGTAATTTTTAGTAAAGTGACTATGCAGAATACTTTTCTATGACATTCAATATTACAAAAAATATGCTTATTGAGAATGTCTTTCGGGATAAACATCACAAAATATCTCAATGCTTTTATAATGTTAAGATTAATTCTAGGTCCAGTTAGGACAAAACTACTATTTTTGTGCCTGGAGAAGGAAAAAAAATTCAAAGGCCCAAATTATAAAGTATCAGGAGAATGATGTTCTTCATGGAATAAAAATTACTTTTTCAGCATCTAAACAGCATTCAATAAGCAAAGTATGGGGCAAAGTACTTAATTTTTTCCCTTGATCTCCAAATACTGTCACTAGCTTTTCACCCAACTTAAATCACAAATGGCCAATGTATTTTTTTGACATAAGCAAAAACCATTATTATTGATTGCAATAAAATATATTTTCTGTATTTCATTATTGAAACATTTTAAATAAATCCTTATCTGAAGGAATTGATTTCACAACCAACTTAATGTACTGTTAACATGATTTTATATTTGTGTAACAGAACAAATTCCAAAAGTCATGCAAAGCAACGTGAGTATTTTAAAAAACATTTCATTAAGTGTTAGAAAAACACACGTGCGTGAAAAACTGCACCAAAGAGAAAGAAGGAGACTAGATTTTAGCAAGGAAAAACATCCATGTTGCCAGTTTAATGATAAGAAAGCACAGGCACTGAGATGTTGTGGATGGAAACGGCATTGAAAATTATAAAGGGTAGCACTGCATTCTTAAATAGTATGTTTTCTGTGAAATGTGCCATAGTCTTTATTTAAGAGTTCATATTTCTTCCTGGAATCTGATGTTACTTAATGTCACAAATTAATGAGGTTTTTTCATGAAGCAAATTATAAGATTAATAGTATCTTTTAATAACAGGAGTGTTGAAGAACAGCAGGTCCAGAAATTGTGCAAATTTCTGGCTACTTAATGGAATGACATTTATCCAGGTAGGAAAAGAAAGTGCACAACATTTTTTATTTCTGACCCACTTACTAGACTTTTCTCAATAACTGAACTTTTATAAGAAACAAATAGAAACACATGGAATTTTGAAATTGTAACTAGTAGGGCAGATATATTTGCATTGTGTGTGTGCCAAATAAATAAGATTAATTTTTACCTTTTTCATAACATAAAATACAAATAATTTTATATAGTTTTCAAAGTGTCACTCTGGTTTAATGTAGCTTCTAAAGTAAAATCTTTTCCCAATGAGAGATCTAAGCTCCAGAAATAGAAAGTTATCATTCCAGTGTGTTTTTCTTAAAAAATTCTACATCAATGTTTTACAAGAAATGAGACTGTTATGGTCCCTAAAATATTTTATCTATGATCCCTGAATTAATGGAAAGTATTAACATCAATTTGCTTCATTAAAAAGAGTAATTCTGAGCCAGGCAAGATGATGCACACCTGTAATTCCAGCACTTTGCAGGAAGATCACAGATTTGAGACCAGCTTCGGCTACACAAAAAGACCCTGTCTCAACTTCACAACCCCTCAAAAAAAGAAAAATTCCAAATATGGAGGTGACCGGAGATAGCTCATGCTTGATGTAACTCAGAAAGCAAAGCATACCACTGTTCTCATGTGCACCTTGGCACCACTGTCTCCACCAAAGGCAGGAGCTACAGCAGCTAGACAAACACTTCCAAGTGCTGCTGACTTTTCTCTAAAGGACAACTTGGGCAATTTAAGGTAGCAGCTTAAAAGGAAGTAGTTCTCAGCCAGGTGACAGAGGCTCATGCCTGTAATCTTAGCTACTCAGAAGACAGAGATCAGGAGGATCACAGTTCGAAGCCAGCCTGGACAAATAGTTCAAGAGACCCTATCTTGAAAAAACCCATCACAAAAATAGAGAGTGCTTAAGGTGCAGTCCTTGAGTTCAAGACCTAGCATCACACCAACAAAAACAAAAAGAAAGTAGTTCTTGCTGACACCCTTCTAGTGGAATTTGGGTTGGGGGTGGAAATGGGGGACAAAAGATTATTCCAATCACACTGTGACTGTTTGAAGAGAACTCCTAGGGCCAGCAACTGTCTTGAAGCTATATACCTTATAGGAGAAAGGAATTCTTCTTAGCAGACAGGACATAAATAAAACATTGACAAATGTTAATGTCATTGTTGGCATTATTTATGAAAATGTAAAATAAAAGAGGAAAATTAAAGAGTTGTCTAATTTTCTAAGTAACTCTTACTTCTCCCTTTTAAGGTTGTCATTAAACTTGCTTCACAAAATCACCAAAAAGAAGGTATTTCGAAACCTTCAGATAGTTGTCATTTTGCATTTCTCCCTTTCCTAGTCCATGAATATATGGTAATAGTCTACATTCAACCCAGCTATTGCACTGGGAAGGTGGTTAATCACGAAACACACACAACACCAACACTGTCACGGGTACACGCACAGTCGCATAGTATTATATTAATTTTAGGTTTCTTCAAAATCTTTCTAGTGTCTTCACAAGGGTAACTGGTATTAATAAACTAAAATGCAAACAGTGAGGTATGCTGTTTGAAATTAGTACACAGTTCCAATCTACCTGTTTACAGTTTTCTTCCAAGTTTCCTTGTCCAGGCCCAGAGCAGGTGGAAGCTGCCCTAGTGGGGAGTTCCTCCCCTGCTCGACTACGCTGAAGCGGGGACTGGCAAACAGGAGAGGGGAAGAAAAGGAAATGGGGGAACAGGAAAAGAGGAGAACAGGAACGGGGAAGGACCACGTCAGAAAAGCAGCAAGTGTTACCCAAGGCTGTCTGCTGCTGACAAAGTATGTGACTTCTTATGTAAAATCACCAAGGCCCATAAGCTAAAAGTTAGGAACATAAGAATCTCAGAATTCTTGATTATTTGCTAGGTCCTTTACATAAGAATTATAGTCTTACCCGGAGGAGGAATATTCTTGCTTCACATGAGGAAGTGCAAGATCAGAGGCCAAAAAAGAGACTTGAGAGAAGATTCATGTCATAGGTAGGTTGAGATTCAAATCTTACTTGATGATTAGAAACCCTTAGCTTTTTAAATTAGATCATGCTATCTCAAGAATCAGAGGCTTTTCAAAAGTCATCTAGAAATTTTACCTTTTGAAGGTTATTTATAAACTTTTCCTGCTGGAGCCAGAGATTTTATACATCTCTGCCATGCCTTCACTTCCCACATTGCTCAGAACATTTGGGCTAAGGAATTACCAAATAACGTGAATGATTCCTGTCAACCCACCAAAAGACATCAATGCCTTGACAAACTGAATTACATAAGCAAACATACAGGCATTATGGATCTTAAGATATAAGTATGCAATTAAAAATTCTAGCAGGCATGGTGGTACATGCCTATAATTTCAGCACTGGGGAGGTGGAGGCAGGAGGATCATAAGTTTGAGGCTACTCAGTAAGTTCCAAGCCAGCATGAGCTACATATGGAGACCCTGCCTCAAGAAAGACCACAGGCTGTAGATGCAACTCAGTGGCAGAGCACTTGCCTAGCATGAACAAAGCACTGGGCTCGATCCTCAGTACTGCAAAAAAAACTTTATGGGAAAAAATTATGTTGCCATGACCACATTCCCTTTGAATGGATCACATGGATTCCTAAATGCTGGAAAAAACATTGTACATTGTACTCAATTTGTTCCATAAATAGCAGCAGTAGAAGCAGCAAAGCTGAAACAGCCCCCAAACAACAGCAGGAGCTGCAACAGCAATGAAGTCAGATTTATCTGATTTTTACTATACTGTCATCAATTCTCCCAGTGATGCCTGAGACAAGAATCATCCCCTCTTTACAGATAACAAAGAAGACAACTTGCTCACATCATAGAGGCAGAAGTCAAAAGGAGGCTGAACACTAGGCCCACTTTCTTGTCATGGGTAATACACACTATTACCTTACATTAAACAGGTGCATTGGGAAAAGCCTAGTATACCTCATCAACATGGTCAACACAACAGTTAGGACTCTCATACTCAAGAAAGGAAAGGTGAAATATCCAGGCCAGGTAAAAGTTGGGTGGAGCTTCGCAGTGCACCTTATTGGTGACTGCTTTGTGTTTGGTTTTGAAAACATCTTAACTCCCTCCACAGTGTGAAACACACACAAAAAAACTAACCTAAAAAGGGAATAAAGAAAATAGTAAAAAAAAAATGCTGTAATCGATGAATCTGAGTTGTTTCAGCATGCATCGGTTTAAAATGCCTTGAAAATGTTTTCACAGATATAATCTTATAGATCTGGAGAACTCATTACATTGTCTGCAAATTCAACAGCACTGTTTTCATAAAATTAATATTCTCCAGAGATAGGATAGGCCCAATAAAGGTTTACTGCATAGATTCATACTGAAGGGCTTTCCTAATATTTAGAAAATAACCCCATCCTACTGCTGTTAAGAAATTCAAGCAGGACACTGGCAGGAGAACTTGGTTCATAACCACAAAGATGCTTTTATTTCACCGAGACTGCCACAATATCAGGCATGACCTTCAAAAAATTGTAGAAATGAAGGGCTGGCAGAGTGGCTCAAGTGGTAGAGCACCTGCCTAACAAGCACAAAGCCCTGAGTTTAAACCCCAGGACTGCCAAAAAAAAAAAAAAAAATTGTGGAAATGAGAGATGAGGCAAAACTTATCTTTATTCAAGATAAACACTACTTTGATCTTTAGTGCATTAACTCATCTAGATAAGAATGGTCCAGTTTTACTTTTACACATTTTAGACTTTAGAGCAGAGTGATATAAATCACATCACAATTTTTAAGTATTTGAATTTATTTAAGCACCACATTCATTCATTCATTCAAATCATCTTATATTCTTGGGTAAGGCAGTCATATCACTCACAACAGCAACTGTATTTATAAATGACCAGCAGATGGCACATCAAAACAGGCATTTAAATAAAAGTGACTCTCTCCAGGAAGGATTAATCTTCAGTGTCTTAAGGCATCACTTGTGGCTGAGTACTGTGCTTTAACACACCTATCTGAATCAAATAACAGGCTTCAGTAGTCAGTCCTGGATGTGTACTGATGGTTACAGTGAAAGCCATATGCATCTCGAATGGCTTAAAAAAAAAATCAACAGAGATACCCAGAATGCAGATGCACCTGCTAAAGCACAGGCCACAAATGTGTGTGGTTTTAAGTGGCCAGGTTTGTGCTAATTTGTTATGCAACAGAAAACCAATATAGAGAGCAAAAGAAAACTTTCAATTCTATAGTTTTTATAAGGATGACTTTAAAATGTCATTTGAAACAAGATCATTTCTGTGGGTGTTTATCATTCATTAATTCATGGAATATTTGTTAGATGCCTACTATGTTAGTTTATGTCACTGTGACAAAATACCTGAAACAAACAACTTATAAGAAAAGTTGATTGTGGCTAAGTTTCAGTCTATGGTCACTTGGCCCTGTTGCTTTGGGCCTGTGGCAGCAGAGTACATGGTGAGAGTGCAAGGTAGAGGAGGTTGTTCACATCATGGCGGCCTAGAAGCAAAGAAAAGAGAGAAGGGGATGGGGTCCCAATGTCCCCTCCAAGGGCATACTGCTAATGACCTAATTTCCTCTTACTAGGCTCCACCTCTTAAAGGTTCCACCACCTCTAAATAGTGGTGGAGGCCACAGGCTAGGGACCAAGCCTTTGACAGAAGCTGGGGATATGGGTTATTTGCAGACACTCCAGATCCAAACTACAGCACCTCCTATGTTCCTACAGATTTTGCAATTGGTGCAGAACATTCAGGGTGAGCAAATCAGTCTTCTAATGTTCAACTTTCCCAAACCCTTGGCGTCAAACATATTCACCTACTCACTGTTCCCAAACTTTTATCTTCTCAACATGGAATATTGTCTTTTCCCTAAGCTCATCACTTATGCAAATTCCATCCATATTTCATGATGGACAAGGAATCTTATCTTCCAGGAAGCTTTCTAGTGTTGATGCAGTGTGCACTGAGCTGACAATAGACAAAAACCCAGCAGGTATTGTTAGCCTGAAGGAAGACTGCCAAGGGTCAATGAGTTCCAACCACTAGACTAGGTTTAAAGGCAGCATGTAACTTTAGGTAGTGGGTAGAGAGGTGGGGAAGGCACCAAGAAACAATGAAGTCAGGCCTAGTTCTGAAGATACTGAGGAGTTAGGATGGGTAGTAAGAGAATTTGTAGCAACCAGATCAACCTATATCAGCAGGCTTCAGGTTTCATTCTAGGGCAACAGTTCAAAATAAGAGGCCTCAACTCTACATTAAAAATCAGCCAAGAGTGGAGGAGACAGCAATCACAAACAGCACAATGTTCACATTCTACCCTAAATAAAAATTATGCATGAGTAGAGCTCAGGAATCTAGGGTGGTTTTAATTGCAGCTACCACTAAAAACTATTGATCTCAAACTTTTTGAATCCCTCTGAAGATCAGGATTTTTGTACTAGAACCTGGGTTTAAACTAGGTCTGAAGGTGAGGAGTTAAGCAGCCTCACAGTGGGATGGGGAGAGAAGTCAGGGCAGGCAATGGGAGTAACATGCCAGGGAGACAAAGCTTTGTGAAGTACAGCATATAATTCAAACAATAAATGCACCATGTGATGTCTGATTTCCTAATCCTATTTGGTTTGAGTTACTATTGAAATAAGTTGAAGGTATTGGAGCTTCAGGATAAATAATTCAAGGAAGGAAGTTCCTGCAAAGTTCTGATTAGAAAAGGACAGTAAGTCCTGGTTCAAATTTTCTAATGTGCATGTGCACAGAAAATGGACATGATCATCACATTTAGTTGCTCCCAACAGGCCACATTGTGAAATACACAAATCTAGAACACATTTAGTCCATGTCAGGGAATACTTAGGATTTGATTACAAGAACCCATACTCACACTTGCACACACTGCTATGGTTTGGGTATCCTTCATAGTCCACTGTGATTGAAGGCTTGGTCCAACATGGGAACTAATGGGAGGTGATGAACGTTCAAAAGGTGGCTCTGGTGAGAGATCCTTAGGTCACTGGGGACATGCTCTTTAAAGGGACCAGGCTCTGATTTCTTGTTTTGCAATGAAATCTCATCTATACCCATGTTTCTGCCATGATGTAATGCAGCTGGCAAGGGCCCTCACCAGAAATGAGCTGATGCTAGCACCATGTGCTTAACCTTCCAAAACTTTCAGCTGAATCAACCACTTCTTTTCCCTAAGTATCCTTTGTTAGGTATTTTGTTACAGTGATGAAAAGCTGACTAAAACACATACCTTATGTGTTATACTTGAAGTCAGCAACTTAAATTTTATTTAATAACTTTGTTTTTACTGGTTGATCCTGTGATACTGAAAATTACAACAGAAATATATACATATTTTTTTCTTTTTTGGTGGTGGGATGGAACTCAGGGCTTCATGAATGCTAGGCAAGTGCTCTACCATTGAGCTACATCCCAGCCCCAGAAATATTTATTTCTGACTTTTAAGCCAAAAAAAAAAAAAAAAAAATGAAAAAAATCTAACCACCTACCACTGTATCTCACAAATCCCAAATTGCCTTATTGGTTAAGTGTTACAATGAAATTTCTTTTGATAAATATTGAAATATTTTGCAAAAGGATCATGAATCAAAACTTTCATATTAGAATAATAATTTTGAAAAAGTACTTTAAAAAGGTTTACTTTTATTCCCTTGACATTGGCCAACTTAATTTATTATTATATTAACGGATATGAGAATTAAATGGACCATGACCCTTCCAAAGAATTCTTCTAGATAATTGTTTAGTTCTCCTTTTTGAATTTCATTAGAATTCAGTGTTCACCTGCACTTGGAAATGCATCAGCCTTGCTGACGATAGCTTGGAATCATCTTTTCTTTTTCCCTATCTGGACTCAGGTAGTCCACATTTTCCATAGGCCAATGGGGTGCATTACTTGGGATGGCTGTGGAGGCAGCATAGCACAAAAGGAAAACATGTCAGGCCCAGGATTATACCCCAAAATTCAAACTGAATACTTCTGGTGTGAAGGCAGAACAGAAATGTGGCTTTAAAAAATATGAGAGTTAGCCAGGCGTAGACATGATGTGCATGTCTATAACCCCAGCACTTGGAGGGCTGAAGCAGGAGCATTTCAAGTTTAAGACCACCTTGGGCTACATACTAAGACCCTATCTCCAAAAAAATATGACAGGAAAGGCTTTTATATAAAGTAAAAGTCAGTAACAGACATGTGTGCAACCCAACCACAGGCCTAACACTGACTGAAAGAGAATGAGAGTATCAACACTGACTCACACTTGTATGCTTGTCCCATTGTCAGGGGTGGATTAAACCCTTTGCATGCTTTAATGAACCCTTATAACAGTTCTGTGAAGCAGACTACTAACAAGTAGGAGAAATAACAGCAGTCAGTGCTCTTCTACGTTATATGCCTCTTGACATGCCATTTCAGAAGCAAGTGGCAAAATATTTCCTTTGAGCTAATAAAAGAAAGAAACACAGTGCCTTGGTATCTTTTTCGATGACTCTCAAAAATCTGAATTCTACACACACCCCACTCTACTTCCCAAATCAGAGGGAGTATGTTCCAAGTGTGGCATATAATTAGAAGGTCTTTGGCTCTTCTCAAAGTCGAGACTCTCTTATATCTTAGCAAACTTTCAACTACATTTTACTCTATAGCTAGCAGCCTCAAATCTGCAATTCTGTTCACAAAGCACATGTTACCAACTGCCAACTGATACAGTGTCCTTGTGAAAAACACTAAATGACTAGTGCTAGTATATATAATAGTATAATATACATATTATAAAATATGTAAAACAGATGCCTGTGAAAACCATCACCACCATAGACTGGAAATGGGTACAGCAGGAGAGAGAAGGGATACCACCAAAGCCCTAGTTTTCATAGAAAAAGAGTTACAAAGGTTTTTGTGGGGTGTGGGTAGAGTGGTGACCAAGTTTCTAAATGAATTTCTTTTTCTAGTTCAGGCATAATAAATAGTCAGTAATTCTACTTTAGCTCCCTTGGACATACCTTTCTCACATCTGAACTCTTTGGTTCTGTTGTCCAGGTTATGATTCTAGAAACAGCAAGTCTTGTTTCACTAGAATTTACAAAATCTGTTGGATCCATCTGTCTGGCCAGAGACTCAATGTATTTCAGGATTGCAACTTTGACCTGAAAGACCCAATAATTATAAATATTAAGAATACTTCATGAATCTTTGAATAGAATTCTTGGCTGGGGGTGAGAGAAGAGTACACACCATGAAGAGAAAGTCTCCCCTCTGCCCTGGTTTACATTCCACATGGAGTCACATCCTACTCCTTATCCATGTTGCAAGATACTTATGGGCAGCTCTGCCACTGACTGAGAGTAAGTTCTTCTGCAATGAGTTCTGCTGCATTCCGGGCCAGGTCCTATGAGGCAGCATTTTTAGTTCTGTCCCAACTTCCCCATCAACTTCTCAACTGGTCTTAATCTCAGGAAAAAAGGGCTATCATTTTTTAGATCTAGAACCTCAACACAAGTTGATCAAAGAACAGACCAAGAACATGACTATACATATCTTCCTTCCCTTCTAAGATTTTCTTAGAGAATGTTAGCATTAGAGAATAATTCCAGTAAGATACGATTATAATGAGACTATCTTAACACATAAGAATGGCTGAATTTTTCTAGTTTAAATATTGACTGTGAAAAAGACTAATAATGCCCAAATGTTGCTGAGGACAGGGTAACTGGAGCTCTCGTATTTACTGGTAGGAATATATTATGGGACAGCCATTTTGGCAGTGTTTAAAAATTATTAAACATGGCTTTCCAATGAACCAGAGATTCTTCTACAATATACAGAACCAAGACAAATGGGAATATGTCCACAAAGAGCTGAACAGAAATGTTCACAAATTTATCCATAATAGCTAAATATGAACCATGTATTTAAAAAAAAAAGTAAATCTGAAACAACTTTGGATTACAGAGCTTGAATTATAATGACAGTTACTGACCTTGAGGTTTGGAGTTTGAGTTTGATCCACAATAAATCTCATTAAAATGTTAAACTGTTGGTCAAACGGAAAGGAATCCCTAGGTTAAAAAGAAAAGTGCTTATTTCTAAAGATATCACAAAAACATGCTGTTGCCAATTACTCTAATATATGTAAAAGCCTATTCACATTTTTTGAAATTCTTTTCATTTTATACAAACACTAAGTGAATAATGTTCATATAGAAAAGTTAGAAAAAGAAAAGTACCCCAAACACACACTGAAGTTACTGTGACTAGCTATTTTAAAAATCAAGATAAGCAGTAAATTTACAAAAGTAACACAGATATTCTTCCTGGCCTGCCCTTCTCTGGATCTACCTCTTCCCTCCAGCTACCTCTCTGAATACTGCTCACACAAAAAACACTTCGCATTCCCAGATCTTATTTTTATATCCTGATGAGGCTGCTTATGGCTGACCCTGCTTAAGCCGACTATATGTCCTCCTTATCTTGGTAAATGTGTATGATCCTCTTTTGTAAAGTCACCACAGAAGAATGCCTAAGCGTATACTCAGCAAGGGAAAATTCCCCATCCAGCTACAACTCATACCCAGAAGCCAGCCCCTGCTCCATTTCTTGCCTGTAACTGATTCTATTTCTCATCGTCACTGTACAGCTCTGATCCAATCAAGTTACCCGGAGGGGTTCCTGTAGAGAAAGTCAGTGCTCTCTCGTTTAAAATGTGGAAATTACTATGACTAGTTGAAGATTTCATAATGGGCCCCCTATTGATAATGGTGATGTCACTTCTCCATTGACAGGAAAGATAATGCAACACAAGTATCTGATACAATGTCTAATTACACTGGTTTCTTTGGAATCTCTTACAGACTTTTCCTAATTACTAAAGTATGGTAAAGTGAAGAATGTAGGTTTGAATCTATAAAATGAAGGAAACTATCTATTATCACAAGGCTGATATGAAAGTTAAAAGAAATAGTATGAAAAAATCATAGAAAGTAAACCTAGGGCTGGTGGGAGAGTACTTGCCTAGCATGATGGAGGTCCTGAGTTCCATCCCCAGCAGCCCTGACCCCCAAAGTAAACCTAACCCAATGGAACCTTTTCTTCTATGTTTGTTTATACCCTGGAACCTTAGATGACCACTTCTGGAAACAAAGTGTACTTTAGTATCATGATTTAAGCGATACTAAACACACCAGAAAACAAATGCCTCTCCCCTACTCCTGCAATAAGAGGTGGATGGAAAACACATTTCAGACCCTAGTAGGTTTAGCCAGGAAATGGGCCCTGTTGTTAGCCACAGCCAGAGATAAGGAAACCAAGGCAGATTAGCAACCAGGTCCAGAACCTGTGGAACAACTTAGTCATCATTGAACCCCTTCCTCTAAATAATCACTGGCTGATTCTAGATAAGCTTAAACAGCTTATCTATCTATCTCAATGGCTGAGAGAAAGACAGGAATAATGAAAATGCCTTAGGGACTCAGACCAAATCTACTGAGATCAGGATTCTTTTTGGGGGGAAAGGAGGTGCTTCAACTCAGGGCTTCGCATTTGCTAGGCAACCACCCTATCACTTCAGCAACTCTGCCAGCTCCAAGATTAGGATTCTTAAAGGAAAGGGTGCACAGGAAAATTAACAGGAGAATATAACTTTTCATTCATTCTTTCCTTCCTTCTTTCCTCTCCTCTCCTCTCCTTCGCTCTCTTCCCCTCTCCTCCCCTCTCCTCTCCTTCCTTCCCCTCCTTCATCCATGCATGGCATGAGACAGGACCATGAGTGGCAAAAGATAATGGCAATAAATCACGGACAAGAATCTTGAAGTGTCAGAGTGGTGAAGCTTCTAAACTCTTACCTGGTGACATCTAGAGCCTTCTGAACTTTTGCTTGCACAGATCCGAGTAAATCTGCTCCCATTTTCTTAAGTAATTGTGTGAGAAGAACAAAAAGCCAGTCTTGTAAGTCATCCTTATGAATTATTATAAAATCCACAAGAGTCTCCAAAAACATACTGAAAACCTATACACAAAATACAAATGTTTCACACTTAATTCATGATATCCTCCAAAGTCTAAAAGCATTAAGCATGTCCATGCTGGCTTTGCCCAGAGCCTTATTACTTAGGGGAACACTGTCAACAACTGCTCACATAACAGAAGGCGAAGAAAACAAATAAGGAAAAATGGTTGGCACTTACTCTCTGTTGTGAATTCCACCGCAAACCAGGCCATGCAACAAAACAAATTCCATGTTAGTCCACAGAAAATTAATACCATTTACATGCAGTTTCTTAAAAAATCCTGAAGAAGCTATATACTGATAAAATACATTTCTCTTCCCTCAATATAAGCCTGTATTGTCAGTACAGAGAGAAACTAGCTTTTGTGAGTGTAACACTGGAGACTTCTTGAAAGACAGAGAGAGACACACACTCTTAATTGTACTAATTCTATACCATTCTTTCTCCTTATTTAGCATTCAATGAATACTAATACAGAATGCAAAATAAAAAAAAAACATTTACTATTGTGTAATAATGCCTTTTACTTTTGTCGGCTATTTTGATATATGCCAATTTCAGATATTATGAAATTATAAAAGATTGAAACAAATGATACTAATAGTTCACTGAGTTTCATGCTGCTGTGTACTCAACATTGCTACCTGAGGTGAAATAGTCCATAGTGGAGTATGTCTGAACCAAACTCAGGTAGTTACTGTGTTTCCCTACCCTGTTCATTAGACTTTGCTATACTGGGACAGCCCCCCCACACCTCCTCAGCTCTGGCACAGCAACTGTTTACCACCAGGGGTCTCTAGTGAGGCAGCTCATGATAAAAATCAATGAGCCCTGGCTGGGGGATTCCTGGCTTAGCTCACAGGCAGCTAGCAAATATTAACTAAACTGAGACCTCCAAACTCACTGGACAAGAGCCTTCTGATGGAAACAAATTTCCTTCTTTATTCTCACATTCTGCTTCTGAATCAGCAATCTAGAGGTAATAGGTAACAGAAATTTCATCAATGTTCAAAACCATCTAACATCCCTTAGGGCAAAACTTTTACCAACTGTATTATGCTTTAAATTGTATTGCTTTTAACACTACCTTAGAGAAAAATTCTTAAGGACTGTATCTTTGAGTATCAGTGCAGCCTTTCAACTCAAGCTTTTCTGAGTTTTATTCATATTGTTAATGCTATCCTTTCTGGGAGGATCTTAATAGGAATTTTATGGCATCCTTGAGACTGATACAGTGAGTACTGCTGCAAGGGAAAGCGAGTGGAGAAGCACGGTGCCTTCATTCCTCTGTACTCCTGTGAGTGTCTCAAAAGGCAGGGACTAGGTATGGACACGTACTATTCTGGAGGCAGAAATTGGGAGAATCACAGTTCAAGGCCAGCCTGGGCAAAAAGTTAAGTGAGATCCCCATTTCAATTAATAAGGTGGCTATGGTGGTGTATGCCTATGATCCCCAGCTACCAGAAGGCATAGGTAGGAGGACTATGGTCTGACAACCCCAGGCCAAAATGAGACACAATCCGAAAGACAACTAAAAGCAAAAAAGGGCTGGGGGCTCAAGTGGTAGAGTGCCTGCCTAGCAAGTGTGAGGCCCTGAGTTCAAACCCCAGTACCACCCTACCCCTCAAAAAAAAAAAAAAGGCCAGGGCTGTATCTTTTCTGTATCCCTAATTTACATCGGGTACACAGCAAATGTTAAATGATAGGATGCATGGGTGAATGATGACAGGTAGATGTTTGTTACTTTAAGGACAATTAATGAGGAAGCAAGGATAGGGAAAGAAGGAAGACAATAATAACTGGCTGGACTCTCTGGCCATCAGTTTTCTTGCTCCCAGCAAGACTTTTAAAAGAGACCATCTTTATTAGGAAAGCTGCAGTATGACATAATTAGTCCTGCATGTTAGCAGTATTTAAGATTTATTTCTGCTGACTTAAGGTTCTATCATCAGTTTCTACAACTTAGTTTCTGTCCTTTGTCTATCTTATAACTTTGTCTATATCTTCATCTCCCCATTTTCTTTCTCTAAACTCATCTAATACTTTTAAAGGCTCCCTCCCAAACATGGTATTTATTTAAAATCTAGATCCCAGTAACTTTTTTAGAATCCTTTTCCCAACACATCCCTAGAAAGGGCGGTGTTCCCTATTTGTGGGTGTTTCCTCCTCAGCAGGGTTTTATAAAACAAGCACTGCTCAGGCTCCATGTTCCCTTTGGCCCCAGGAGGTGCAGGCACAAGATAAATGAGCAGTATCCAGCAAGCTCCTGGGAACAGAAAAATTCTATTTGGAGAGATAACTTAACCTGTTGGTTTTGTTTTTTTTTTCTTTCTATTTTTCTTGTGTCCTTATCACTTCTATATTTCCATATTATCCTTTGAGAACAAAATTATGTGGGCTACAAAAATAATTACATACATTTTCCTTACTGCTGTAATTGAAAAATGAATGCACCACATTAAGCAATCCTACATCCTGCACCGAGCCCACAGAAACGTCTGCTGACTGAATGAAAGACTACTTCTGATTCTCTCCATGGCAACTCTTGATACTTATTTAACTTGAAATTTATGGTTATGTAAGTTCCTAAGAATTCCATTTTTTAAATACAGGCTACTGTATTTAATGGAGTAGGGGTTGAATTTTAAGATTGACACTGCACTATGGGGAACTTGCTTTCATTCTCAGGTAGTATATTACAGTTCACACAGGCATGCAGAAGGGAATATATCTCCATCTCCAAGGCCTGATTGCAGACTTACCTTGCTATGGGGGTCAGCAAACATCCGGGTGAAAATCTCACACAATCTCTTCAATTCTACTCGACTGGAGGAAATAAAATGGAAACTAATGAGTTTAAAATTTAGTAAATCACCCCTACAATTGTTATAGCTTTGCTTTTAAAAATTCTTTTGTTTCAGTCAACTACATAAGCTATATCTAATCTCTATTTACATAACAAAGATTTTCACAAATCTAATTCATGATGTTAAGAATGTAAAAGCACAAACTTGCTCTTCTTTTAAGATGAGGGCAGTGAGGTGCAGACAGTGATTTGCCTAACCTTACACACCGTGCTATTAGAAAAGTACAGTGGCATGGTTAAGCTTGGACCTTAGGATAAGCATGCCACATGGCTGCTGAGAGGACTGAGGAAAATCCTGCGTCTGCAGCCAAACCCTCAGTGCACACTGTGCCCTCTGTCTTTTCCCATTCGCCACTGAACCACTGAGTATGCTATTTTACACAGAGACTGGACAAAGGGTCCTTTCTTCCCCAGGCGCCCCTGGAGTAATCCCTCTTCCTCTTGCACTAGACAGATGGTCCAGTGCTGCTAACAGTGCAACCTTGAAGATACCAATGCTGACCATGAGATTTTTAAACACCATTTAATGGGTCTCTGTGAACATTACGAATTCAGAAAGGATTAAACAGATTCTTGAAGAACAATTATGACAAATCATCCTCATTTTGTTTTTGAGTGATCACTGGCGGGTCATGATGCCTGGATCTCGGAAAGCAGGTGGCAGAACCTCTTGTACCATCTTCATGGACAGAATGGAAAAACGTGGGGCAGGAGTGAATACAGTCGGGTAGAGTCAGACTGAAGAACCACACTTGGAGCACAGCTGCTCATCTGCCAGGGCCCATCCAACCACACAGAACATGGGAAGACCTCCACCCATGGCCACAAACCTATCCAGCCTCACAACTTTCCTTTCAACCATTGATTAAAGAACATAACACAGGGTTATTTCATGGACTGTATGTAACTCATTTCTCAACTGCCACTCACATCTTTTTTCATATTTTCACATCATTGCAATTGAAATTCATCTTGTAATCAATGACATATTGATAGTCTTAGTTAACAAACATTTTGTATTATGTCTTCAGAGAGATATAAAATAATGGTGTGCCAATGGTGTGTGGATTTTGATAAGATACGACATAAATGCATTCTTATTTTTTTTTTTTGGCAGTACTGGGGTTTGAACTTAGGCCTTCATGCTTACTGGGCATGCACTCTACTATTTGAGCCACGCCTACCTCTAGCCCCCATAAACACATTTTTTTTTGGTGTGCATAATACAAGTTTATTTTAGAAAATTAATGAAATACAGAAACAAAGAAAAAAAGCAAAAATAATTCAAAAGATAATGCAGTTACTGTTCTGGAGTAGTATTTATTATTTATTTACTCTGCATATTCATAAGCTACCTATAAGCATATGTGTATTAAAATTTTTGTGACTGAGACTGGTAATGTTTTCTTCTGAACCCTGAAAAGAAATGAACCACACCTACTCGTAGAGTTGTTTTATTCTTTACCTGAATTGTACATGGTGCCAAGACTTCTCAAATAACAACATCTTGTGAACAAATGTCAACCTTAAGGGAACCAAATGTTCTATGAACCTAACAAATGACAGGATATTTGCCAGATACTTCAAAGTGTCTAAATAGCAAGGACTGTGTCTTAGCCATCAGACCTCACAAGTAGAACTTTGTAAGACTCCATAAGTGACAAGGAATCCCCTTAAGTCCCCAATGAATATAATTAGAGACTCTTGTCCTCACCTCAGTGTCCTTTGGCTCTTCAGTAAGTTCTGCAGGCCCAGAAGCCCTTCTTTCCTTTCTGACCAATTTGAACTAGCACAGTGGTTGAGAACTTCTGCTACATCTTCAGTCTGTCGCAGATAATGGGGAATGCCACCATTCCTAGAGCCGTAAGAACGCTCCGAGCAAACACTGGAGGCATCGCTGTTGGCGTCGTCGTCAGAATACATCCCGTATGGCTCATATCTCCTCCTCACAGGCTTCTTCTGACAGATCCAATGAGGAATGAAGGTGAATGAGGAAGAAATGGGAAGGTGAAATGACCATGAGTCATACCAAATAAAAACAACAAAGAGTTAAGTGTGAAAAGATACACAAACACACACTCTGCTTGTGCTTACAGATTAGGAAAACAAAAACAGAAAAGTCTCCCAGTAGATATGATAAGTGATAAGCATTACACTCCTTAGCAGGGGGAAGAGTGTGGCCTCTGAGAGAGAGAGAGAGAGGGAGAGAGAGAGAGGGGGAGAGAGAGAGAGAGGGAGGGAGGGAGGGAGAGAGAGAAAGAGAGAAAGAAGGTGTGGGTGTGTGTGGTTGTGTGGGTGCACGAGTGCAAAGCATGTGTATGCTTTTCAGTAAGATGAACTTGGGTTCCCATCCTGGTGTCACTGCTAACTAGCTGTGCAAATTGACAACACTTCTAAATCTTTCTGACTTAGCTTTCCCCTCTCTAAGGGGATAAGAATTATCCCTATCCCACAGGCTTGATGCTAGGATTAAATGGGATTCTATGCGAAAGAACCCAGCTATTGACACACTGCAGGTATGTGTACCCCTAGCCCCTGTTCTTTGGTCTAGAGCAATCTACCTCAAACATGGTAGCATGGTCTGTGGGTATACTTGTTTGAATATTAATGTATCCTTAAGAAAGACTATAATTGAAATGTCAGTGGCATAAGTACCCTATGTAAAACAATTCTTTTTGTTTTGTTTTTTTGAGACAAAGTCTCACTATGTAGCCAGGCTGGCCTTGAACTCATGATGCTCTGGCTCAGCCTCCCAAATGCTGGGATTATAGACACAACCCACCACACCTGGCTGTGAAAGGATTCTTAAACTACATGAGCCACTTTTATTAAGGATTTTGGTTTTTCAACACAAATAGGATTGTTTTAAAGTAGACTATAAATACCACTTCATTCATTTCTCTTACCCCGTATACAAAATTGTGTATTAAATCTCCACATGATATAGCAGTCACTATGTAAAACTGATAAAGCTGACAACAAACAAATTTTTCTACAAGCAAGTCAGTGGATTAAACCACACAAATGCAATTCTCTCATAACGCTATTGTGATTTCCAACATGCTCAAGACCGTTCTGCCTATTGCACCAGCATAATTACTTATGGCACCTCCTTTTCACTCTTGAAAGCATTTTTGTTTGGATGACAAATTATATGATCATCCGCCTTACATATAAACTAGAGCCCTAAGATAAGAAAACTGTTGGAAAATCCATTTGTGAAATAATGATGACATAATAGGCACAGACTTAGTTAATAAAATGAAACACTAACAGGAGAAGGAGCAGGGCTTAACATTCAAATGAATATTAACACAAGCATATGTGAAAAGTGACTGGCTCCATCACTAGTAAAGGCTTCAGTAGGTTCAACAGAATCATACTTCAGGCCCAATTTCTATATTCTACTACATTTTGTACTGCTTTCACTAGCTTCAAAAAGAAATTTATTTGCAACAGAAAAAAAGAAAGTTGTAAACAAAAGTCAAAGCACTGGTACCTTGCTCCTGGCGTCTCCTAACAGCTGTAGGCAGGAAAATATTGAAGGATGGGGAAAAAGCATAGAGAATTATGTCAGAAGCATATGTGGGGATTGTTCTGGCAACAAAAGTGTACAGCAAAACATCTCTTTTTAGCAAACCAAAAACACAGGTCAGCAAGCGTTTCATATTGAGCAGATAATAACACAGACTGCTTTCAAAATGGCATTTCTTAGCCCTATGCCTCTCCCAAGCAAGACCCTATGTTCTTGCTTGTAATTCTTGCAGAAACTCTTCCCATTCCCATGAGGCACAGCTCTAATCTTCTACCTATTCCTGTGAAATGTAATGTCTACCCTGGGGCTTCCATTCTGAAGTAAGGATTCCATACCATTCCTGCACTTTCCTCTTCAGTGGCAGGTCACTTGCAGAGATCAAACAGGGTAGAAAAAAGTAACAAGGGCAGCCTGAGCATAATGGGAACTGGGGCTCAGAGAAAAACTCAAGTGAAGTCAAGCCAAAGCTCAAGCTCTCTGGCTTTATTCTGCCTCCTAGAACTTTGCACACACTCCCTTTTGCAGGGCTTTAAACAACTGAAAAGTCCTCTGCCTTAACTGGAAGTCCCATTTAGCTGAGGCTTTCAGCTTCCATTGTTTCCCATCCCTCTGGCCTCCTTCCTAGGATCTCTGAATAAATAAAAGAGACCAAGAAGGCTGCAAGTGGAAAGAGAAAGGGTTCACAGAATTCTGTTCCAGCTCTTGGCCTATTAAGTTACAGCCATGGGTAGAGCAATTACCCTGCACTCTAGTACCTGCCAGAAAACAGTCCTTTTACATATAAGGCTGATGAAAGATCTGGAGGCTGTCTGCCTACCAGAAAAGCACTCTGAGAGCAGCTAACTGCCTGCTCATAGACACTTGTCAAAGAAATCTTCTGACTGAGCAAGAATGAGGGACAGACATGAAGAGATGAAAGCAGGAATCAATGGAGCTCTAGACTATAAAATGTTGATCAGATGGAACATGGCTGGATTAAAAACCTCACAGTCTTATATGCGTACTTTTTTCCTTACAAGAGAATAAATCTTTAAATAGCAAAAAGGCAAGGCCAGAGATGAGACGGTTCTGAAGAAAATCTATTTCAAATGCTGAGCACATGAACTGGGATATGCAAGAAGCTGTTACTATTAGCTGAGATACATCTTTGATGAGCAATGTGATCACAGTCCAATTCTACTAAGGAACTATGGCTGTAACTACAAATTACAGGAGCTCTGATAACTTTCGGCTTTTGAAGTATTAGATTATAATGATGCAAAAACACACTGTACCAGTGCTTCACATCCTCAGAGGAAACCTTAAAATTTAAGAAATTTAAAAAATATTGACCCATTGTTTTAAGTTAACAGAATCATAAGGCTTTATAAGAGAAATAATAGAACAAATGCAAGACTTTCAAAACTCAAGCTCTATTACCTGCTTGTTATAATCATGTGTTTAGGCTATGCCAACAAAGTCTGAAAAGCAACAGAAACAAGAGGATGGAAAAACAGGAAATGCTGAAAAAAAACACCATGGTCAAAAAGAATAAAAGGAATAAAACCCAATGACATCTGAGAAGCCCAGTGTCATCAAAACCTCCTTGACATTGAAGAGCACAGAATATTTGATGCTAGTATTTTCTAGAAGGCCAAATTTCACTTAGGTGTGTGCAGAGTAAAAGTTTAAGAACAAAACAACAATATTTACACAATTCTACAGTGTCAAGATGATTCTGTAATATGATTGGAGGCAATTTCCTGATAAGACAGAGAAAAGTATGAATGAACAATTCAAGAAGAGTCTGCACATACTGTGTTTCTTACCAAAGCATCAGCAACAGCAGCTTCCAGATCTGTACTTGTGCTCAAAACTCGCATGGCATTCACAGATCCAGGTATTCTTCCTGGCTGGCCCAGTCCAAACCGGTCTATTTAAAACACAAAAGCAAAATGTGTCACTTTAATTCATGTGACACTCAACAGTTTGCAAGGGCACCTGCCTTCTCCCACCAAAGGAGACAGAGGCACTGAAAAGTCCCTATAATTTTAACTGCACTGAACTCACTTGCCAGTGGTAGAGGTTAAGTTGCTCACATTTAATTCTATAAATCCACAAAGCATTCTTCTAGTGGAAAGTGCTGCATAACATTTTATTACTAGAAAGATTTCAGATGTGAGAGAGGGGAACATATTATGGAAGGAAGATGGGCTATGAGTTGAATCTTTTAATCTATTTAGCTTTCCCTCTAGAGGCAAGTAGCCTTGATACTTGCTTAAATTAATAAGGTTCATGATTTGATAAATGATTTCTAATGCAATGTGAAGTAGAAGGTTAAAATTTGAAACAAATGTACTAAGTTGATCACAGTGAAAATTTTCATTAGTGTCACTACTATGTAACAGTTATCAATTAAACTAATTCACTTGGAGTACTTGTTCACCACAATGCCTCTGTCATCAGATTATTTAAAAATTAATGACAGTTCTTTAAAAATAACCACAAAAAACCTAGTACTTTCTCTGCAGAATATTAATCATTTCAGTATCATTAGTATAGATTTCACCTGAGTTGCTCAAAGAATTTGTCTTTATACAGACAAGTAAACTGAAAAGAATCCAAAGTATTTTTAGCAGTTAGAGCAATTATTCTAAGGCTGTTGATGATCATGGTAAATATAAATTCACTTTTAAAAGTGCCATTAAATCAGCTGATCAGCCGTCCTTAAGATGTGCTGGAGATTAAAACTCTTAATAGGAGAAAGCCAGTGTAAGATATATGTCATGGGTATGTCACACTATCTACTGATTAATTTCCTAATTACAATTTTAATATGTAAAAACCTTTGGAGGAAAAATGTTAAGATATGTTCTCCCTGTATTAACAAGTAAGACAGTATTTGGACAAGGAAAATCTTCAGTGTTAGTGTTAGCCATATTCTAACACTGAACCATTTAGAAAAAGAAGGAACCTAGCACCTATTTTACAGGGACTAATCTTTTCTATGAAATGATCTATTTAGAATTTTGAAAAGACAGTAAGACATCACCTACAAAACTGGTAAACTTTAAAAGTGAAGTGTTACTTAGATTGTTTTAAATGTCAATTTCAAAACATCATACCTTCCACCACCAAAGAAAGGGAAAATTTAAATACTGCTAGTCAAGAGTAATAACAGTCATGAATTTTTATACAAAAACAAAAACTATATGTTATACTATCCCCTTTTTTAATGCATTTGCTGATTATTCCAAACGTCACCTTAATCCATTGTCTCAAAGAGAATTTAGTGTCCAACATAAATCAAACAAGCCCACAAAACAATCCCATTTATGTACCTAAATATATACTTATTAGTTAAAATATGAAACAAGCATAAATTTGAGATTTATTTTGTATAATTTTATAGATGATTTTGTTCAAGTCTCTTAAAAAAATCTTCAAGTTTTTTTTCTTTCCATTAAAAAAGGGTAGATAGCAGGGGATTTATGAGTAACAGAATGAAAGTAATTCAGTTATAAGCCAATTAAAATTACCCAGCATAAACGTAAATAAAAGAGTCTGAAAAAGAAAACAAAACAAAAGTACAGCTCATGCCAGCAACTCTTGTTCCAGGGGTAATACTGACTTTTTAATACAAAATTAAATCTTACAAGAACAAAACAATTATTCTGTGCTTCCCAGATGCATACAGCTTTGCCATACATAGTGACTGTAGATCAGGTGATATACAACATGTATAATTTAAACTCCAGATCTAAATGGGACCTGTTTGTCTGGATCTTAGCAAAATGCTAAGCTTTTTGTTTTTAACATTCTCATTGCTCTGATGCTATTATGAAGCTCAGGTTCCCAAAAGATGGATGCCCAAGACTGTGCCTTCAGTCTGGCCCCTGATCTTCAGAGTAATGCATTTAATCAGAGCAAACAGCAAAAATGCATAGCTGGCTTCATTTACAAGAACAAAAGAGAAAATAACTGACTCAATGAATTGATGTCACCATCCACAGTCAGTGAGTCAACAGAGTATGTCTTACTCAACTGAGAAAACTAGTCTTTAGGGACTGTCAGCATATGAAAATGTTGCTGGTTATGTGGCAAACCATTGCATGTTCACTTTTTGCCCCTGTGGCTAGCCAGTGGATTTTTGGTATATTAAACAGAATTGACATGGAAGGTTTGGGGCCCACAGGCAACAAAGTCTAGTCTTTGGCCTGACTTGATTACCTGAGTACTGATCTTGTTTTTCCATGAAATTTTTAGGACAATATACTTATTTTCATACACAAATAATACATGTTGTTATTTGAAGCATAGGCTAAATAGAACCTGAAAATGATTAGAACCTGACACTAGCAACTAACTTAATATTTGAAACTACAGTAGGAGAGAAGACCTTGGAGATGACTGACTCTGAGGGATGATAGCCACACCCCATTTCCCCACAGGGAGCCTATTGGTTGTTGTTTCTTGGGGATGGGGTTGGAGGAAGGGAAGAAGTGCTTCCCTGTTTTTAGTTTTGATATAAAAACGAGCACTGGAGAAATGGTGTCAAACAGATGATAAAGCATCTATGGCCTATTAACAGAATTATAAACATTCAACAACTTAAAAAAAAAAATAAAAGCACACCAGGAAAACAAACATGAGGTGCACACATGCCAAGCGCCAGCTGACACAGATGGAAACAAACGCTGACATGGGTGTGAAGAACAGATGAAGAAGCCGAGTCATGCAGTTAGCACTTGTTCACCTGACTGCCCAACAGATTCAGCAGTGGAGAGAGCACTAGTGGACCTGGAATGACGTCGAGAGGCTGCAGGTAAAAGGAACGGCAACACCCACAGGATTAACACACAAGTACCAAAGGAAATGCAGGGGCAGCTACCAAGAAGGCCGTGCTTTCTCATGAAAGAAATGGTGCTGGATATGAGTGGAAAGCAGTGCCGACCCCCACGCTCCGTGGTAGCTGCTGGTCTCACACAGCTCTTAGACACACAGGTACAACAGAGGCACTCTTTAGGTGATTCAGACTAAGGATGCATCGACCGACTCAGACTCCAGGTTTAGATTCACACCATGAAGCCTCCATCAGCCATTATGGAAATATGCCACATGAAGAACGTCAGGAGTCAGAGCACCATCTAAACCCCAGAGGAGACAGCAGGGAGATGGATTATTAACTCAGCTCACGAGATGTGTCATCAGTATGTGATGCATATGTCACCATGCACCAAAACAAAAGCAGAGAGGTTCATAATGCTATCTCAACAGAAATCGAATGAAATCACAGAAGGCGGCTCAACAACTGGAATCCATTTTCCCCAGTTAAAAAGTTTGTTGTTCTGCTGCACAAATACCCTAATTATTAATGTGCTTGGTTAACTACTGCAAATTCAATGGTTGTGAGTTTAGTGACCTTCCTTGGAAAGGCAGCCACAGTACTCCTAAGAGTGCTGGCTTGGAGATAGAACCGTAAGGCCTGATTTGCTCACAGCTAGCTGTAGGACCTTGGGCAGTGTATTAAACCTCTCTGTGCCTGTTTCTTCCTGTGTAAAGTGGTGCTAATAATGATACCTTACCTCTTGGTTGTTACTGAGAGACCACACATAAAGCACTTAAACCCATGCCACATGAAAAGTCAACAATGGTGGTAACAGCAGTTAGTATTGATTAGTAAAGATTAAGAGTAACTCCAAACTTACATTTAGACCTCAGGATATTATTTTATGAGCAGGTTTTTGTAATAAATATATTAACTAATTAACCTAAGGAAATAAATGCTGAACTCTGTCCTCGTGAAGACAGAGTACCTTTTAGAAATAATTATGAAATAAAGAACTGGTTGAAAACACTGATATACTGGTCATAGTTCCATACAATGTACAGCTTTTCATCATCTCAGGAAAACAACAAAAGATAGCTGCATCCAGATATTTTCAGCATGGAAAAGTCACGGTGCTGTACTGTGGAAAGTGCATAGGTTTAACAAAGCCACACTGAGCAGTGCCACCTCTCACTCACACTACTGTTCTGCACACACTGATACACACTATGTCATACAACGTCAAAACCTCAAACTCTTCAATATAACTTTATTTACATTTTGAAGTAGTTCATGTCACCTTATAAAACATGCACCACTGTGGTCTATGTGTTGTTAAATAGCAAAGGTTACCTGGCCAATAAAGACAAATTTTTACCAGCTTGCAAAAAGAAAATCTCTTCTTTCTCAAGATGCACAAAAACAAAAATAAATCAACAATCTTTCAAACAAATTATTATAAACTTACCACTTTCCTGAAATATTCTAAGATTCACAAAACTGTACATTTATTATAACAGCACATCAGTATTCTATCTTTCTGTAAACTATTTCAGTTTAAATTTGATCTGTAGGTTCTTATAAGAACATCTTATTAGAAGCACTTTAAAAGAATCTTCTGTTCCATTTCAACAGAATATTCTACAGTAACTCTGTTGCATAATGAGTCTTTGTTCCTTTCAAAATGCCCAGAGATGGAATCCAAGGTGGACTCACTTATGTCAAAGCTTGATTTGCAGTAGAGTTGTAGAGCCCTTAATTTCATGTAAGAATTATAATTGTAGCCATATATTAATATATATTCATACAATTAAAATGCTTTAAAACAATCATGCAAACTTAAAAACAACACAGGCAGTTGGCCTATTCGCAGGCTCTGCATCTATTGATTTTTTTTTTCCTTTTTAAACTTAGGATATAGTCATAATGGCGGGGGGGGGGGAACTCATAGTGACAATTCCAATTAGACTTGTATTGTACATTACTTACATTGTTCCCATCATCTCTCTCCCTCAACCCCCTCTCCTAGCTATTGATTTAACCAACTGCAGATTAGAAAAAATACTGTGCCTGAACATGCAGATTTTTTTTCTTGTCATTATTCC